TGTGCCAACAGCTATATGTGTAGGAATGTTTAGCAGGTGGATACAATTGATATATACACAAAGAAGCTCTAGTGTCATTTCAGCATATGAATAAAGTTAAGATTGCCTTTGAATTTTACACCATATATGAATAAGCAATGCTGTCCTATTTTGAAATATTTTAAATTATATGTCATTATAAGGGAAATGTCTAATTTTTTGAAACTTTTCATTTTCTCATTGTATATCAACATGTAATCTTTACAAAATAAAAATGCATTTATTTACTGTAAGAAATAATTCAATATAAGCAAATTTTAGGGAATATCAGACATAGACAATAATTTTTAATTTTGAAAAATTGGTATTTTGTCACTGAAGTATGGGTCCAAGTGTAAGTTTCTTTCTGGTTCCTCTTTTCGTTCTTTCTTTCTTTCTTTTTTTCTCTTTCTTTCCTTCTTTTTCTCTTTCTTTCTTTCTTTCCTCTCTTTCTCTCTTTCTTTTTCTTTCTTTGTTTCTTCCAGTTTCCTTTTTTGGCTTGAGATCATTCAGTTCTTTATTTTTACTAGTACATGTTTGCAATACACTCTTTGTAAGGAGTTGGTACATGTACATAACCTACCTTAATTCTCTTTTTCCATCCCTTTCCCCACATTCCCTTTCCTCCATCTCTTGATCACCTTCTCTTAAAAGGGCATTATTACTAAAAAAGAGGAGGATTTAGTTCTGTTGTGGTTTAGATTTGGTATGTGCCTCCAAAGCCTCTTGTGTCAGGGGCATGGCTATGTAAGGTGATTGGATTATGGGGTGCTGTAGCTAACTAACTCTTAGGAGGTGGAGTGTGGTTAGAGGTGGGTCACTGAGGGTGTGACCTAAAAGAGCATGTCTACCTCCCCGGCTCCTCTCTTCCTTCTCTGCTTCCTGTTCTGACCTGGATCAGGTCCACAGTGGACTAAGCTATGAGTCAAAACAAACCTTTCCCCCTTTAATTTGTGAGTGTTGGGTATTACATCTCAGCCACAAGAAAGTGTCTAAGACAAGTTCATTCTCAGTAGCAGGTGTGAGATGCATTTAGATAGCATAAGAGTGTCTTTGTATCTTTCTGATGTAAGTTTAAAAAGGGGTCCAGAATACTATGGTTAAAGCCAATTTCTAAAGTGGTCTAGCACTCCCAGGAGATATGTTAAAACAGTAGTATGCTCAGATTTTAAATGTGAATCAGATAGGGAATGATTAGATAGACAGCCATGAATGATTAGAATACAAATGGGATCTTTGAACATGTTTTCAAACAGCCAAACCTTACTTACATTTAACTATTTTTCTTTCTGGTGATTTTACTATTTTCTTTTTTTCTTAAAATAAATTGTTCACTGTGGGTCTGTTGATAGTAAAATTTATTTTTATCCTTCGAAAATATGTGGATTTCATTTGGCGTTCTGTTTTGCTTTCATTTCTGAATTATAGTTTTGCAAGGAAAGTATTTTTATTTGGTTATTATTTCCTCTAAACACTGGTAATATATCATCCCTCTCTTTTGACTTTTATAATCAGCATAGAAAGTATGCTTATTTTTGTTTGATCTAGTGTCCTGGAAAATTTGTTTTTCTCTTTGCTGGTAAGATCATCTTGTCTTGTTAAGGGGGTGTCTTAGTCATTTTCTCCCTACTGGGACACAACAATTTAAAGGAGGAAAGGATTATTTTGACACAGAGTTTTAGAAGTTTCAGCCCATGGCTGGCTGGCTCTGAGGCAAAAATGGAATGAAGGAAAGCTACTCACATCATCACACCCAGAAAGCAAGAGCTGGGAGGGAGATCTACCCTTCTAGGATACTCTCCCAGGGACCCCTACAACAGGTCCTGACTCTTAACAGCTAGCCAGCTATGTGATACGATGATCCAATCACCTTTCAAAAGTTCCTCCTAAATTCAAGACAGTTTGGGGGGGGGTTAGTCTTGCTCTAAATAATAATAGGGAAGAAATATACCTTTTATTTTACATGATTTAGGTTCACCGTTGAGGCCTCTGTACCCAAAGGCATAAGGACCTGAAGAAACAATTAACTGTGTTTATTTTCCCCAGTAGGCTTGAGCAGTGAAAAGAAATATGATGGGACAAAAAGGAATATGAACTAATAGTTGTAAACTGAGGGAAACTGAACAAGGCCTTTTGGTTCCAATTCTTCTCCGCGTCCCTGTGTCTTCCGGGATAATGATGTTCCTGTCCTCCAGGAACAGGGAAGGCACCTGTCATGGAGAGTGATAATCTGAGTCAAAAGGAGGTCAGGAAATCTTTCATAGAGATCTGCTTTGAGTGGAAGGAGGTGAGATATCAGAATGACCTTTCTACTTCTGCCTTTTTTCTCAAAAATTTCCAGCTTAATAAACCCTGCGAGAAAGGTGTCCTAAACCCTGCACTACTATGTTGGTGTTTATGACAATACATTTACCACTGATTTAATTCTTCCCTGTTTTATACCTGATCTGTTTGAGTTTCATCTATAATTCTGCTCTGGATTTCTAGACACTTACCTCTGTATCTTTGTTTTAAAATGCTTACTTGTACTTATTTGAATTTAATGTGCACACAGCGTGTGCTTTCTTTTGCTGTGTAACAGATTACTGTAAGTATTACAGCTTCAAACAATGTCTAGTTGTTATAGATAATATCTCTGGGGTCTGTAGATTGGAAGTCCTAGTGGGGCTGCCTGGTTTGTCTGCTCAGGGTCCCACAAAGCTGTAGTCACCGCTCGGGCAGGACGCATTCTCATTTGGACCTCAGCATCATCTTTGAGCTTGCTCAGATCATTGGCAGAACTCCCTCCCTGCAGGGAGAGGACCGAGGTCCCCATTTCCTTGTTGGTTGCCACCTGAAGAAATTCTCAGCTCCTAGATTCCACTTGCATTCCTCGCTATATAATCCCTTCAGTCTTCAAAGTTGACAACAGAGAATATTTATTGGTGCAAAATCCCTTTCTTTTTAAGTTTCAAACTTCAGACTCAAAGAAGAGGCCGTTCTTTTTCCAACACCCCCCACCCCCAGTTATGGCCAATGCACTTTTATCTTCTTTTTAGTCAACTGTGTCATGTAACAAAGTAATCACAGGAATAAAGCATCCTATTTGAAGTTTTAAAGACTATGCAAGATGTGTACCAGGAGATAAGGTCCTTGGAACCTATCTTTCAATTGTGCTTACTGCAATAGGGGCAGCAATTGTCAGTGAGTTCTAATTAAATTTGTTTTTAAAAGCATGGTAAGGTAAAGTTTTATTTTATGAAAAAAATCTAGGCATTATTTTAATATATTTACTTAAATAGTTTGAACTCTCACGAGTATATATTTCCTGGTATGCAAATAATTCATTTGGTTTACAAACTGATGCTCTATTATTAACGAGTGAAATTTAAATAATTAATAAAGGAAGATGGGAAAGGAGTCCATTCAAGAATCTTTTTCTAATCCACAAAACAGCTAGGCTTCTGTATATATTAATTTACGATTAAGATCCTTGTCTAGTTGCCCATTATTGGTCTTCCTTTATGCATCTTTCACAGGAAGGATCTTAGTCCAGGTATGGCCTTGTGGATTTCTTCCCGTTAGAAAGAATTACTATTTGAATTGCCTCTTAAAGCAATGGATTTTGCTGATTTAACCTTGGCAGGCAGTTGTCTGTTTGTTGCTGCCTGGAAATATTTGCGTGGAAGAGAATGGGGATCTTTATCTTCACCCTATGATTTTATCCATCGTCAGTTTCCATTTAAGAAGGCAGATGGTGAACATGGGAAGGGGTCCAGGAGACAGAGGGAGCGGAGAGGGGGAGGGGCGGGAAGTAAAGACAGTCAGATGTGCCATGTGAGGAGCCTAATGACCTCAATGAATGTAAACGTTCTTCGTCATAGACGTGAGATTGAGTAATGATAACACAAATGAAGATGGGGCAATGAAGAGGCTGAAGGACAGAGGTGGGTGGGAAGCGGATTAAAACAAGAAACATGCTGTGTTATGTACATGTACCCATTCCCCAAGATGAGTGTAAACTGCACCTACTGCAAATATATACTAAAAAACAAAAGAGGACAGATGGTGAGAAGAGCGTAGGACTCCCGTATCTTTTCTCGACTCTTTCTTCAGGTCATAGTATATATTCACAGAAAGGAAACAAAGCTTAGGTTTGATGCCACTTACTGTTTTGTGGGAAGGAGTAATGCTTTAAAATTTTGTTAAAAATACACCCTTAGACAAATGGCTTGAATTCGCCGCTTTCCCCACCTCAGCCCTCCTCCACAAAATAGATTTCCTCTCCTCCCTAATAGGTTATAGAGGTTTCTCCATAGCAAAGTCCCCGTGGATTTACCAAACAGGGATGAACTTCTGATACAGTTCTAGCCAATCTGTCCCGAAGATGTGGCCTGACCCTTGTACCCTCCTTCTCTAGAAAAGAGGAAAAAAGAGTTCGGTGAAGCTGGTTAGTTAGAAAAGGAAGTCGCAGCACGTGGTGGGGCAGGCCTGAAATTTCAGCACTCTAAATCCCAGCCCCCTGGGAGGCTGAGGCAGGTAGATGGTCAAGTCTGAGTCAGCTCTGTGGACTGGGAAATTTAGCAAGCCGTGTCTCAAAAATAAAATAAAATAAAATAAAATAAAATAAAATAAAATAAAATGCAATAAAATACAACAAAATAAAATAATAAAATAAAATAAAAGGGACGGGAAAAGCCCTAGGTTCAATCCTTAGGTACCCCCCCCACACACACACACACTCACACAAGAGCAGCTTGTGGATGCACAGATGCAGGGGCGGCCGGGCAGGGTGAGCTGGCCCACTGGGCACGAGCCGCCCCTCGGCACTCCGTGGCTTGCGGTTCCCCGAGGCAACGGACCCAGGGCCTCGGCCACCCCGGGCTTGGGGAGTCGGTGAGTTTGGCGCTGGTCTCTCTCCCGGGCGCAGCCGGGTGGCGCCCTCCTCTCTGGCCGTTCACAGCAGGGAGCAGCCGCGAGGCCGGGGCTGGGGTCGGGTAGGGGTCGCGCCCCGGCCCGAGTGGCTGCAGGGAGGGCCACCCCGCCGCGAGTTAGGGAACGACTTCCCGGCTGGGAAGGGACGCAGAGCCTCCCTCCCCCGGCGGCCCAGCTGAATTCACAGCGTCTAGAACTGCCTGCCTTAGGTCTCGCTCTTTTAAAGTAACGATTTTACACTGTAATTTGCTTACAAGGCCGCCTTGTGGTGACTCTCGTCTTATTCTCTTCAACCGGTGCTGTCTTCTTTCCGTACTACGCCCCGAACCCCAACGACCCGCTCTATCCGCTCAAATACGGAACAGCTTTCTGGGTGAGAGGCTGGGAATTTTATTTCTTTATTTGCTCTAACCCACCACAAGTGAAAGGATCCGCTCCACCACCTCCCTCTTCAGACTGGAAAGTGGTGCTCAGATCTGAATCGACCAAAATCAAGCTTCGGACGCCGAACACTTAAGGGTCTCTTGAGTCCCAGTTCAGAGCATTTTTTATTATTTCTTTCTTGACGTTCATCTTCCGGTCAGTAAATATTTGTGAACTCGCTGGGTATCTCCCACTCCTTTTTATTGCGTGGTCTGTTTTATATTTCTTTGGGCATCTGCACCCAAATGTAGCACTCTTGAGATAACTCGTCCTCATTTTTGTCTTGGTCTTGTTATCGCAATAGTTTCTAGGCTACCACTGTCCTTTTAAAACTCAGGTATTGGATGACTACTAACAAGATACATCCAGCTAGCTGTAGGATTTTCTGCTGTTTATGTTGAATTATTATCCAGATATTTATATGCGAGGCTGGTGCCTTTCTGCCTTAGAATATAATAGTCCTTTATTATGTAATTGTGTGTTAAGGCTTTATCACTAACTGAATATAACTAAGTTATGGAACTGTCAAGTATATGAGTATATCAGTCTGTCCACAGTCCCTGGGAGGTGGGTATCCCACTGCACTGGTTACCCACAGCCCAGCCTTCTCTTCCTGCTCCCACCTCAAATTTGTGCAGCTTCAGACTCAACTAACCAGTGAACACCTCCAGTGTTTTTCTCCTTTTCTGCTGTCTGTGGGAGCAAATGGTATCTACCTACACTCAACTTTCTTTTTCCCTTTGAATACGGACCGCATAGCCCCACTTTGGCTTCTTCCACTAGCCTAAAAGTGTGATTTTTCAAGCTCTCTGGACTCACCCAGTTCCCGACCTTGTACCTAAGAGAACAACTGGAAACATGTTGGGCAGAGTCTCCCTCACCCACCTTGTTTACCTGCCTGTCCCCAAAACTTTCACTTTGGGATGGAGCTGCCATGATTAGCAAATTTGTCAAATCATGTGAATGGATTGGGAAAATAATTTCTTCAGTGAAAGGCACCCCTCTTTCTTTTAAAGGAAAATTAAGGTATAAAACCAATATTAAAAATGGAGATACTAAGCAGCAGAATTTATGTGGAGTTGATAAAAATGTAGGGAGAGGGTTGAACATTTATAAGTATTTGGATTATGTTTTTAAACTGATTGTTACATATTGACCTATAATGGCCATTGTGTCCTCATACATTTTCTCTATAATACTAGTAATAAAACCTATAATATAGCACTTTTAAATAGATGTTGAGCTGTCCATCTCAGTGATGATGTGGTGGAAACAAATGAGGAGTATCAAAATGAGGATGAGCATAGGCCATTTATACAGAGCTTGAGTAAACAAGGGAATCATCAACCATCACTTGGATTGGAGAGACCCAAAGGCAAACAGAGGAGTGGGAAGGTTCTGCAGTAAAGAAAAGGGAAGGCCTAAGTACATTTCTGATTAGAGCTTGTTGACAGGGTGGAGGGGTGGAGGAGGCAAGCTGGAAGCAGGTCAGCCTATGTGATTGGTTTGGGAGCTTTTCTGTTTTCTTTGGTTCTAGGAAAAATCAGGAAATGTGCCATCTGTTGACAAAGTCCTGAATTTTCTGGAATGATTACTGCGGAATTAAAATTTGGCTTTCTAAATGGGTAGATGCAGAGGTTCTGGATTACAGTTCTATTTTCACAAGTGGGCTGGCAATTTGTCTATGTTCAGTTCTCTTAAGACTCATAAAATATCATCTTCATGTTAGAAAACGGAAATTTGGGTCGCTTAAGTATTGTTCTTATGACCATCTAATTGGTTAAGTAACTTTAGTTCACTGAATTTAAATCATTACCATTTATTTGTTAAGTGCTTATTTTATGCTGGTCACTGGTCTAAACAGTCCACATATATTGTCTATTTTAATCCTGACTATGAAGCATGACTATTTTCACCATTTTCCAAAGGAAAAGACTAAAGCTCAAAGAACATTAAGTATTCTTCCAAAGATCCTATAGCTAGTAAGGAGGCCTTGGAATTTAATCCCATGTCTAATAGATTTAAAAGCTATGTTCTTTGGCATTTTGTTAAATTGCCCAATAATCCTCTACTTTCTTCACTAATAAGTCCATGTAATGTTAGGGTATACCTGCAATCATTGTCATTTGGCTCCCTTTCTCTAGGTACTTATAGGATGTGTGAGTAGAGATTAGGAGACCTTTTTGTATGAGCTAAAGGGATCCACCCTTGCCTTAGATGCCGGAAACACGTTGGTTTTTAACCATAAACCAGTGAAATGGACGAGATGCCTGGGCATGTTTAGTCAGAAAGCAGAAGATAGAGGGATGATCATATGAAGACAATGAAAGAACATAACCAAGAGGGTACAGATTGTATGGAACACAGGAATAAGCAGATCCTTGTGCTGATAGTGAGATGTTTCATAGACAAACTAAACAAGTATTTTTCTATTAATTTTTTGGTGTAAATGACAACACTATGCATTTTTTTCCCTTGAGGAAAAATAAACTGTCCTCATGAATTGTGACTGGTGGGTCTCAAAGTTATGCTTGTGGCAAATTCTTTGAAAGGCTAAAATTTTTGTTTGTATTAGTTCATATTAATTATGTGATGATCACCTACCTGAAGTATTCATTCCTTGTGGAATTCAGCTTACTCATTTATTCTTATAGGCAGAGATATGGCATATCCTGGAAACAACAGAAGAAAGATGTACACGAAAAGATCCTATGACTTATTCAACCACTGATGGTGCACATGTGAAGCATCAGTGTGCAGGAAACTCAAATCAGCCTTTGGTAGAAGTCTCTTAAGAAGCTCTCTCTTCAAAGAGAGGCATGTTCTAGCAACACTACTGTCTGAATTGTCAAAGTTCTTCTTACACAAATCAATGCAGTTGCCAATCTAATTATCACTAAACAGTGCTGGCCGGTACTTCTGTTATTATTATTTTTTGGCTGGTTCATCTTGCTCTGAAAGAACACACAGACCCATGGTTACACACCATCATTTATCTTTAGTTAATGTATCTCACACCTTTGGCCAAGGGTCAGAGGCTTGTGAAATGAACTCCTTCAAATTAAAATTTTGGAGGTGTTCTCTTCTACATAGTTTCACAATTCTGGTCAAACACATAACATTTGCTAGGAATTATGGATTCAAAGAAAAAGAAAATATGTAATTTCTGCATTCCATGGTGTAGCAAGACAAATAGCACTTGATAATGAAATTTGATATCTGAAATAATAAATTTGAGAGAAAGTTTTGAAGGGTTAAGGCAGTGAGAAAGAATGTTTCTGATCATTTCTTTCTTTTCTTCCTCTTTCCACTCTTCCACATAGACTCTGAAGTACCATTCATGGGTAGAAATGTCAAAGTGGCTCAGGATGATAACTAATAGACATTTTAGATCCCACTATATATCCCTGAAGTATGGTGATGATGAACTCTTGCTCGTTTTTTTGACTTGCGTGATTTTCATGATCTCCTCTCCTTTCTACCCTGTTTTTGTTATATCGTCTTGGTATCTCTGTTACTTTCAAATTTATTGATTTCCTTCAATTCTGTAAGACAATATCATAGACAACCCAATATCCTATCCCTCTGGCTCTAGACTATCCCATCAAACTATGTCATCCGTTGTAACTGGATCTTTGCAGTATGCTAGCAAATTTGCATCAGTACAACAGCATTTATAGCCATACTAATTTAAATTAGTTAGAAAATAATATGCTATGAGATCATGTGTAAAATGATAGCAATAGGGTTCAAATATGTAGTATAAAGTGTACTTCTTTGCCCATTAATTTGAACATTTCCATAGAAAATGGCTATAAGAAGCTCTTGGCACAATTTCTTTGTAATAAATTCTCAATGCTGCTTATTACTTTTGATTTTTTTAATTCTCCAGATGGCTAAACATTTGCACTCTATTTGTCTGTTATTTCACTAAGTGCAGATTTCTTATTAGGTGCTATTTTTAAATTTATTTTTATTTATATCTTTGGCTTGTTTCGCAGCAAACAAAAACCATTTTCTTCAACTGACAATTTAAGAACAACAGAAAATTAATGGGAAGCTTAATTTTCCAGTCTGATTTAATATTTCCCAAGTGCTGAATTGTTGAATGGATTTTTATTTCTATATTGAACATTGATAATTCAAATCATGTATTACTTAAATTTTATAATTTCTAGAAAAATGTACTAGATATTGCTCACATTGCAGTCTTTTCTAAATCATAGCAGGGGCTGAGGATTTAGCTCAGTGGCACAGTGCCTGCCTGGCAAGTGCAAGGTCATGAGTTTGACTCCTGGTACCAGAAAAAAACAAAACACAAAAAAAAAATCATAGCAGTTAAGATATATCTACATAGTATATTTAAAAATAATTCAATAATGCAGTCATTAGTAAGGATGTTACTTTTCTCCCTGCATCATGATTATAACCTCATTAGTGATAGCTGTTTTGGTTTTCTTTGTAATATGCCTAGGAAGGTATACCTTTCAATAAAAATAAGGTACTGACTGCAACTGAATTATTGACCAGTTGTGGAGTGGGGAGCTCTTTAGTTGCACTGCTATTTAGAATGAAATGTAACAGGAAATGTCATCATTTGATTAAATTTTCTAAACTAACAGTTTGAAACTATAGGTAGAGAGAAATAAAGCATTAATGTCAAACTTCACCTTATTCTTTATTTTATGATTAATTTTAGTCTCATGTTTTCCTCCTCCTTAGATATCTTACAAGGTTCTGGCAAGGAACATAAGAGGAGAAATGCAGAGTGACTAGGGAGTTGGCACAGGGCAGCAGGGCACTGCCTGTTTTTAATTTAGTTCTTCAAGATCTCTAAGGGGAGAAAAATAACAAAACAAAACACCAGAACCTTTAGCTGAGGTCGTATTTAAGGAGGAGCGACACTTTCCATTCTTATAACACTTTAATTTGGAACTCCTACAGGTTAGA